TTAATCTTCTCCTGATTGTTCTTGAACTGACAGAAACACCAGCATCATTCAGATCACTTCTGATGGCCGCTGATGACATTTTTCCATCTTGGAGACATAGTCTTTTTATTCTTCTGTCATCAATAGATGTGGTGCACCTTTTTCGGCCTTTTCATTCTTTGTTTTTTTATTGAATTGGTCTCCTGATATCGTAAACAAAACTTTCGGACTCCAGATGTAGTCACTGAACTACCCACCTGTTTGCAATTTCAGCATAGGAAAGACCACTTTCTCGTAACACAATAATATTACATCTCTTTCTAGGTGTCCAATCTACTCTTTTATTTGATGTCATTGCTTCTTGACTAAATATTAAAAATTTTTACAAAAATTCCTACTTGTAATTGCAGTGTATAAGAAACAGGTCCTCCTTCTACAGAACAAAGCAAAATAATGAACTGTTTTAAGTATAAACATGATGTCAGCTTCTACTGGCAGTTACATTTGATTGGTTCTCGGAACAAGAACAGTGATTGGCCAGGAAAGCTAGACATTACAAACCACTTCATAACTGCGTTTTTTTTATATTAAAGTACATATAACTTTTTTTGTATTGCAAATAATTGAATTTTGTGTTTTGTATTGAATTCAGTAATAAATTCTGTTTAAAATGATATATAAAAGTTTGCATTTTGCAAAACGTAACATTTTCTATAAGCGTACAAAGTTCAAAAACATAAAAATTTCCAAAAGTGTCCACAATTTTGGCCACCACTGTATATACCAAATTTAGTTTTGATGTTTATTCAATTTTGCCATTACTAGTAGATAAATAGAACACAAAAAGAAGCATATGAAAATTTTGCATTTTGAAATTAGCATATAAAATTTATGATCCAGTTGGATTAATCACACATTTGTAATTAGCATGAAGGTTTAATTTCAAGAATCATGGGAGAGAGTTGAAGGATAGGATAAAGAATTAAGTGAGGATTTCAAAATTAAATGGGAGGAGGATTTCTAAATTGGAAATTTTGTTAATATCTAAATGTTATTTCAAAACAGACCTCAATGAATTCCGGTTATATATTTTTGCCGACAGCTATATATATTTAGTTATATATTTAGTTTTTCCAGTTATATATTTAGCGAAGTAGCATATGCTGCCACTGCATATGTCTACTATGAAACATCAGATGAAAATTATGAGGTTAGCTTTGTAACATCTAAACCAAAAGCAGCACCAGTGAAGAAATTAACTTTTCCACAGTTAGAGCTGACAGTAACATTGATTGCAGCAAGAATACTCAACAGCTTAAAACCCGTTTTTTACATGAGGGATTATTACTTGTTGCTTGATTCCACAGTAGCCTTCTGGAGGATACGCAGAAATGCTAAGCAGTTTGTTGCGAACAGAGTTAGTGAAATTCAAGAAATATCTAATCCAGCCAACTTGAAACATTACAGCAGTGAAGATAATCTAGCAGATGTAATATCAAAAGGTTGTAGAGCAGCAGATCTGATAAACAATGCGAAATGGTTTAGAGAGCCCACCTGGCTTCAACAACCTGAAGAAAAATGGCCTCACAAAAGTAAAATTCTGAGCCTTTAACTATGGAGGAAAGATCTAAGTTTAAAGTATTAGTGAATGCGACATTTGACAAAAATGAGAAAAGGAAAAACTACTTTCTAAACTTAAATAAGTATAGTTCAACTGTACAGTTCTACAGAATAACAGCATATGTTAGGAGATTCATATTTAATCTGAGAATTCATATTTAATGTGATGGAATCTAATCTAAATTAAATGCAAGTGAATTTTCCGACACAGAAACCTACTGCATAAATATATATATATATAATACGGAAATTTTCTGGAAGAAGTAAAAAATTTGAAAAAAGAATAATGCATTTTCAAAGGGCCAAAGATTCGAGATTTATACCCAGTTTTAGATGAGGAAGAAATTATTGGTGTTGACAAGAGATTACAAGAATTAAAGATAAAGTTTTAGAAAAAACATTTAGTGTTATTGCCTGTAGAGCTCAAATTCACTGAAATTTACAATTAAACGCTCTCATGAGAAGGTACAGGCAGGAGTTTCTAACATGCTAGTCCAAATTCAAGAAAGAAATGCATCAAGTCTACTCTAAAATGATGCAAAATATGCAAATCTTACAATTCTTGTCCAGGAATGCAGATTACAGCATTATTGTCAGTTGGCAGAACTGATGAATCACCACCTTTTGCAATACACTGGGTGCAGATTTTGTTGGTTTGCTGCTTGTGAAAAACATTGACAGTAAATTTTATATAGTACTTCTGCTTACCTGTGCTATATCACATGGGCAATCCATCTAAAATCAGTTTTAAATATGACACTAGAAGAATTTAAGCTCACTTTCAGATGATTTATATCTAGAAGAGATTTACATTCCAACATCTACATGATAATATTAAAACATTTAAATGAGCTAAAGTGGACCCACAGTAAATAAGTATGCCAATTAATCATTCTGATATAAGGGAATATGTTTCATCTCACCACATCAAATGGAAATACATCCTTGAAAAGGGAGCACAGTAGAGAGGATTTTATGAAAGGATTTATATCTAGAAGAGATTTACATTCCAACATCTACATGATAATATTAAAACATTTAAATGAGCTAAAGTGGACTTACAGTAAATAAGTATGCCAATTAATCATTCTGATATAAGGGAATATGTTTCATCTCACCACATCAAATGGAAATACATCCTTGAAAAGGGAGCACAGTAGAGAGGATTTTATGAAAGGATAATCAGATCAGTAAAAACAAGTTTGAGAAAAGTAGTTTTAAAATCTTCATTGACTGTGAAAGAATTAGAAAACGTTCTGACCGAAATTGAAGAAGTCATAATTTCAAGACTATTAACATATACCTATTCAAAGCCAGAAGAACCGTTTCCCTTAAAACCTGCACATTTGTTATTTCGCAGGTGAATTTTGAGTTTATGTGAAATTGAACAATTCAAATTTTTCAACCAAAAGTATTTTATTAAAACACTTCAATCACAAAGTAACCTTGTTAAACTTATTCTGGAAGAGATCGAAATGTGAATATATAATGAACCTACAATCAGCATATACAGTGCAGAACTTGAAAGAAGTTCAAAATTCAAAATTAATGACTTGGTATTGATCATTTCCATGAAATATAAGGAAACCATCATTTCCATGAAATATAAGGAAAATGGGCAAGATCACTGAAGTGTTCTTCAAGCGTGATGGATAGGTAAGAGTTTATAATATTAAAACTACAGATGGGGCAATTTGAAGACCAGTTCAACACCTGTAACCATTTGAAATACATGGTTAAAGTGTTTTATGATCAATTTTAAAAGGACTAGGTTTATAGATTTCATTTGGACTTATTATTATTATGAATTTGTGAATTTATCACTGAATATCAGAATAGTACAATTCAGTATTATATGCAAATGAAATATAGAATTTCTATGCTTATAACATTGTTATGCACAGTTTAACCCTGTTCAAGACTAAGTATAAGACCTCTCTGACTAAATTATTTTTTGTGATGTCTGTAAGAACATATTGCATCTTAAAACATGTCCAAGAAATTAAGGCTATATATTAAAAGTACATGAATCCAGATATAAAGTTCTAGGAGCATTTTGATATTAAAATTAAGAAAATAATTCTCTCTCATGATAGTTCTGGGATTGTGCTTTTTGAGCGAAAACCCTGCTGGTCAGAGGGTTAATTGAAAAATGTTTAACAGAAATTTGTATAATTTTGATATTCATTAGATTACGCTTTGAAACTTTTTAGACTTTTTTGTAATAATTTTTGTAATAATTTTTTGTAATAATTAGAACATTATTTATTTCATATTAGAATGTATGCGAATTTTAGATGTGATAAACCTAGTTCATTCTGAGGGGGGTGATGTGTACAGAATATTAATGTACATATGGTGCTGTGAATAGACAAAGTTTGATTAATGTTTTGATCAAATCATTGAGCAAAAGGAACTCTGACCTGTAAAGACAGGAACATAAAATACTAATTTTTTAAATAAATATTTTATTAATGTGTTTTGAATTCAAGCTTCATAATTTGCAGTCTTGGATCATTTATTCATCGACTGCATGGATTACTAATAGACAAGAACACATTCTGCGAAAACTTGAAACAATTCAACAACCACTAAATCCTCAGTTGGTAATCAAACCTAGTTTGAACTATCAATGTTCAGGTGCTTTATCGCTTGGCCACTGATGAGCCTGAAAAATTTTGTAAAACAGAAGCCATGGCCTGACAGATCATGCCATGAGAAAAAGGGTTTACAGAATAGATGCTGATTCGAAGATTTGTACAATCCTTTTGTGACAACTAAGTGGGTTACCTACTTCTGATGTTAAGAACTCGTGCTGTAGACTTCTGTTGATTGCAACTAGTAGTGAATGATTGTATAACTCCAAGAACTAAACATCATATATCATGGGAAGAATTTCATTCACATTTCACTCGTAGCATGCAAATCTTATTTCAAGAATTTTCTCAGAATCGCTGCTGATATCTATCCAGACAAGTTTTAATGAGTTTGGGTGACTGATTGTTCAAACATGCATGACTCTACTGCATATACTATATTTAATCACATATTTCTCCCTCTCATGTAATTTTCCCCTAGATTTTTCAGTATATGATTTAGAAACTTCTAATTTATAGTAACAGTGTAAAATGCATGCACAAATATAGCAAAGTATTTTGTCTAAGCAAAAAACAATGTTATTGAGATTGGTAAGCCCTATAATATATATAACATAATAAAATTAATGTGTCTTTCTGTCTGTTTTTAATATTCTATGTTTATCATTTAAGCCATCTTTTCAGAAATAATATATACACATAATTTTCCCCTCCTGATTTTCAAGCATTAAAATCAGAAAGAAAAAGGATAAAAATGCATGAGTAAATACAGAACATTTCTATAAAGGAAAACATAATGCATACTTGAGCAGGAATGGACTTTCTCCTTTTTGACAGCTGTTTGATAGAATAACCTTCACCAAGAACTGGCAGCCTTACGAATGACTTCACAGGATGGGACAGAGAATTATATACAATTACAAGATACTGAAAGAAACAAAATAAAAACAAGTTGGATATAAAATTACTTAATTTGCAATACATAAATAAATAATAATCAAATCTCAAGGATTAACAAAATTTAGATTTAAGTTTTAATTATTCTGAAACAAAAATATTAATTTAGTTCTTAATTTCTGAACTAAAAAATTAAAAGAAACATTTAAGATTGTTTCTCAGATAAATTTAAAAAGTTGCATAGAGATACAACATTTAAAATGATAATAATTTATTGCAAATATGAATAAGCTGCAATAAAAGATATAAATTCAATAAAAAAAATTATTCTTGGATTTGGCACTAAATTTTAAAATTATTTTCCTATGTAATGCTAGGAGAGAGGTAATTTCAAAATCTTCTTTTGGCTCAATGACTACAGCAGTCCATTTTTAAAAATATAGTGACCTAGAGTGGAATATTTTAAAAAACTACAGGTCAGCACAGCATACTTAAAATATTGTAGTAGTTCAGAGCAATGCATAGGCAAAATTCAAAAATTTTTAATGTAAATGTTTGAGACATACGCGAATCCATAAAATTAAACTAGAAGCAGATGGATTTGCAACATTTTCTCATTGAAGAACACAGAACTTAATTTTTAATCATAAAATATTAGAATTTCGTCAAATTGATTTTTGAATTTGTTGTTTATAAAAAATAGCATATTGTCTTTTAGGACAAAAAGAAAAAAACTGAATAAAAAAATTAAATTTCCCTGTTGCATACATAAATGAGCACACAAATAATTGCAAACAATACCCAATAATATTTAAAATTATGGTTACTCTACTTTTGATAATCATACGTGAAATAATAAAAATACTTTTAAGTATCATATGTATTATATACCATATGTATTATATATTTCTGTCCCACACGCATATTTTATTCCTACCATTGTTAGCATATAATTCAGAAACTTGACTTATGGTTGTGAAAATAAATTATAAATGGGATGAATAGTAACTTTTATCATGGCATAAAAAGAGCAGTATTGCAAGCAATAACATCTTTGAAATGTATAATACAGTAATAATAATGTATCAGTTTCTATAATTTGCAATACATCATTGCTCAGACACATCACACAAAGTAATAATGAGCGTTTGGTTCACAAAGAGTAAAATTAGTAGTAATAAGAAGAGGGAGATACTCAAGTAATATTATATCAACAAAACACTGGTTGAGATGTTTCAGCATCTTATTATTGATAGGAAAAATTAAGTGAAAACGTAATTTCAAAAGTTAAAAGTTATAGTATGCATAAGGTTTGAAGAAAAATAAAAGAAAAGCATTAAACTAAAGAGCCGCCCAGATGGGATAGAGGTTAGCGACTCTGACTGCCATACCAGAAAGCCCAGATTCAAATTCCAGAGAAGGCATGGATATTAAGTAAATGTGTAATGTCTTTGTGGCATGGGAGCATTATAAATATATGGCAAGCTGAAAGTCTTCTCGTGTGTTTTGCTGGTAGGGGAGAGGGATGGAAGATCCTCAGATCATCTTCTTAGATTTAGATCCCCTTAGATCTCTCAAAATTGGGGTGGAAGTATAAGTCCAACTTCCTTGAGGTTCTGGCAACCACTCTTCCATGAAATATGAACACAAAGTCAAACAAACAAAATTGAACCGAAGAAAAATTACATTTAACATTAAATAATAATGTTTTAAAAATTTCACTGAGAAATAAATTTTTAAGAATTGAATATAAGATAGGCATACAAAAATAATCAAAGGATGAATAGTATCTGGCACAATGAAACACATATTTAGTCTGTAAAAACTTTTTATTTATTTAATGTATTTTATATATAAAATATAGGGATTAAATATAAAATTAAGGACAAAAGATTAATGAAAACAAATTACCTGATTTTCTAGCTCAGTGAACAAGCACTGACTGACATTTAAATGTTCACAAAAATAAAGCCGAGGTAATATAGTATCATTTGAAAGCAGGATACGAATTGACTTTCCAATAGCATCCTAAATGGAATACAAAATTAGATACATAGATATCCATAAATAAAATTTCATAAAATGAAATTCAACATAAAAGATAAAGGGCTATAATAAAATTAATTATGATACATGAATTCAAAATTAATGTGAAAGAAAAAGTCAAATAAAACTAAATTACTTAAATTAAATTACTAAATTTACTACTTATACATATATGAACACACAGTCATCCCAAAGTGTTTAAAAAAGATGGCTACAGGTGTTATTTCCATAAAGTTTCTGAAAACAATGTAGAGAATTTAATGAAAACAGTTTCAATATTATGGCTGAGAGAGTTATGTGCATTAAAGCATTCAAATGTAATCCACATTGTTGGACTTTTTTAATGGTTTTAATCTGAGAATCCTGGTCTTACTATGATTTCTGTGGCAAAGTGACCCAGGATATTAATGATTATCATGTATTACCTAAAATGAACTCAATCTTATTACCCATATGCATGTAAAAAATTATAAGTAAACAGGAAGTATCTCAGTCTGTCAAAGGCTTATCATTAAGTTTTTAATAATGAATTAGATCCTAAGTCTCATAACTTTTACCAAGTCTTCACAGACAATTTGAAGAACAGCATCTATCATATAAAAGTAAATGGAGACTGGGCTATAAAGGGCCTCATTCCCTTTATACCCATATTTAGCCTTTCCCAGTGTCATCACACCAGATGGTGGATGCATGTCTAATCAAACATCTTTGAAGAGGAGGATAAATAAAGTAGTTTCCAGAATGTTGGAAAAGATGTACTGAATTGTAGGAGGATTTTTTTTTTAAACAATGACAAATTTTATGAATATGCATTCATTCCGCTTATTCAATCATTCCATTTGTCTACACCATATTTTAATAACATAGTAGAGTCTAATTTTTTATGCATTGCAATCAGAGCAAAAATCCCAATAAAATATTTATTATGTTTTTAATAGCAAAATACAAAAAGTTACTATACAATATAATGGGATTATATTTTGTATTAACACTACTCTTTCACACAGAGTCTGAAATTGTTTTCACGAAACTCCCTTATTTCAAGAAACTTTATAACTGGAAATAAATGCCTAAGATTGATACTAAGGATATAAAACCTTTAGGCACCTTTCTTGAACAATTTGGATGCATGTAAATGCAATGATTATGTATTATAAAAATATGGCACAAGTAGAATATTGTAAAAAGTGTTCAAAACACAATTTTTATAATGGGAAAAATAAGATTAATTTTTAAATATCACTTAAGGACGAAATAGTTAAATCCTCCAGATCAGATCAAAATACCCCCCAAAATTATAGCAGTTACATGTATAACCATTTGTATTTTTACATTTCATAAATCAAGCAGAAAATTTTCTAAAAAAAATCTCTATTTTGTCATTATAAAGAAAGAAATCACTAATTCTCTAATAATAAAAATATATAATGATAAAATATTAACCTCACATAAAGCATAGCCTTCAGATAACAGCCTTGAATAATCATCTGCAACATGCTGCTTTTCAGTTCCTCTGCAATTAAATGTCAGAATTTGTTAAAAATACTTTTAAGCTTTTTTTTTTTAACTATTGGAAGAAGAATGAAAGATAATACATACTACTGATATTAAAATTCAAGTATCCTGCAATTCCAATTAATCTATTTTAGTTTCTCAAAACATATCAAATTAACACTGTACTTAATGAATAAAATGAAGAATTTTCAAAGTTAACTAACCATTGCACAGCCACCACGAGAAATATTTATTATAAAAAAGAAAAATATATAATGAATTTTAAATGTGTCCAGATAATGTACTTTTATAGGTCTAGATAGTAAGAAATAGTAGAGATAAAAAACTGTGTTAATTGATTTTAATTCATTTAGTTTGTTAATCAATAAGACAAATTAAACTTATAGGAAAATTAAATATTTTATGCTTTGCCAAATAATAATATAGGAAAGATAAAAATATTTTATTTCAGGCAGTGGCAATACATTTCTTTTGAATTACTGAGTCAGTTGATTAAATTTGAAAGACAGATATCTTACACATTGGCAGGTGGCATGAAGGCCAACAATAAGGAATCATAATTGCCAGACTTCTGTTTTTAAATTTCTTTTCATTAATAAATACGAGAGAGGGGGAAAATTCCCCCATCCGTTTTTTAAAGATATATTCAAAATCCTTTTGAAATAGTTATAAAAGTCACCTAAGTTAGCAAATACTTTCTTGAATATAGCTACAAATATTGAACATTACATAACCTTTTGTACTTAATTCATTAACTGAACATTTTGATCTAGATGGACCACACAAAAAGTGAAATATTTTATTTGGAAAACGGTCCTACTGCAAAGCTAAAACTGTTTCCTCAAAACCCTATAATTTATTCTAAGAAGCTTTCGAATTACAAATGCATGTCTAGGATAAACATTTAACAAAATAAAGGCTGTACCACACCTATTAATCCCCTATATAATCTACTTCATTATGCAATAATTACTATATTTTCTGAAAAACATATATGTGAATGTTTTTTTAATGAGAAGATAGGATACGACTAATTTATTTAGGAAAAAGCATATCACAGATACATATTAATGATAAGGGATAACTTTCTGAGAGCTGTCTAATGAAAATTAGCCCGTTCTTAATTTACAGAAGAGAAATATTATGAAAATGGCTCATAACTAACCCATTCAGTTACCAGAAAAAGGAACTGGTGTGACCTACAAATGAAAACATTGGGTGAATTACCAGTATTAACTAATCAATAACTGAGCAACTTTAACATTCGGTTACGTGCCATCAAATGAGAAGATAAAAACAAAATGCAAAAAATTTGCTCAGCCATTGGTCAGCTAGTGATAAGAGATACAGAAAATGTAAGAAAGTAATATAATATTTCAGACAGACAAGTTAGTATTTTTTTAAATCAGAAACTGTAATAGACAGTGCTTAATATAATGATTTTGAAGCCTTTTATATTTTAAAAGTTAAAATTACATTAATAACCAGCTTCAAAGTTCTTAAAATATTGAATTTACATTTAATTTATTATTAAATTTATATTTTAAAAAATTAAATATTTCTTAAAAATATAAAATTTTTTTGATATATTATTAGATATGTTATAAATTGCATCGTAAAAAATTATAGCAATTTCCTGTGTATATATGGAAGGAGTGGCCAACCTTTTGGATGTGTTTGGAAGAGTGCTACAAACTGAAAAAAAAAAAAAAAAAAAAAAAAAAAAAAAAAAAAAAAAAAAAAAAAAAAAAAATGCATGCCACTTCCAATATTTCCAACATACTAAAAACATGAAAAGGCAAAAAAAAATGTTGTTAAAAATAGGACACATGAGAATGGAGATTTAAAAAACAATACTTAAATTCAAACGTACACTCTAGGGTTTATTGCTATAAACACTTTTAAAGGTCACAGTTTATACTATAAACAAGAATAATTTAAAAATTATTAAATAAATCAGTACTTAATTAATGTGATTTTTGAATATGTAGTTTTTTTATGAAGTCATATATTAGATATTCTTGAAGGCACTAGCAACATTTGGTGTTTTAAGGTGTATATCAGTTAATGTTGAATGATATTTTGATTTTATATAATAAGAAAGCTGTCACAAAACATTTGATACAAACTTACAACAATATCAGACAGCAAAATTGTGTAAATTTGGAAAATTGCTTGTTCGTATAAATTTCTAAAATTCAATATAATTTGGATCACTTGCAGTTGAAATAAGTTCCTTATATTTGCTTTTCAGTGTAGTATGCTGCTCTAGGTCAATAATTTGGATTTCAGTTGGGTTACAATTAACATCTTGCAGAGAAATTTAATTATTATACTTATTTCAATGTGTTTATGTGTGTATCTATTGATGGAGTTGATACAGATGTATTATTATTTTTTCAAATCCTTTAATTCAATAAGTATTTGCTTACCACTGTTAAAATTCTGTGCTACATAGTGTGTCACAGGTTGACCATCCCTAATTTATGGCATGATGGATAACATAACAGCAGTCCAAAGGTTCAACATTAAATTCCAGGTAAAGGATGTTTTCTAAGGATAATTCACCAAAGTCTTTAAGTGGATAAAAATTTATCCTCAATTAGAAATTTTAGAATTTTGCAGTCTCTTCTGGATCCTCTTTAGATGGTGTACATTTAAGGTTTTCTTTTTTCTTTCTCTTCCTTTTTTTTTTTTCGGGGGGGGGGGGGAGGGGGTGCTTTTGCAGAATAATAAATACCATAAAGGTATAGTTTATTTTAAGATACTGATTGATCAAAGAAACTGTTAAAATGTTATAATCAATTACATATGAGCTAAAGAGTCTACTGCCGATAATTACCAGAAAAAATTAGTAATATATCTCAAATAATTTTCAATCTTAACTTACGTAATTCCATCATGATGTTGCACAACTCCAAGAGCTTTATCTAGGATATAAAACTCATTATTAAATAAGAAAATTTAAATAAGATTTCAATTCACACTGATTTTACTTAAATAAACAGATGCTATTTACTTACGAAGTGTCATAATATCAGCATTCTCCACATCTGCTAAAGTTACCAGTTGTTTGCACATCTGAAACAGAGGGAAAGAAATCGGTTGTATAATAAGATTTTCGTTGATCAAATATTATGCACTATAAAAGATAAATGAACAAATTACATAAATAGAGCCAATTATACCATGGATTTCCAGTCTTTTGTGAATTAACAATTAATTTAATTGAAGTACCTGACATTCTATGTGACAATATTTAGGATTTCAAATTATTATTAATATTATTATATTCAAATTCGTTTATTAATGTGAAGTCTATGTTTGGTATGTCACTTCTCTATTAAAAATGGCCAATATAAAACTGATAAAAAACCAATATCCCATCACATGACTTTTACTGAAAAATGAAATTTTAGAACTGAGATTTACTGTCCACTTTATTAATTTTGACATTCCTTATCAGTAAAGATCCTTGTTAATAAATACTGAATGCAGCAAGCAGAACTCCCTTCCACTCACTTTAAGATTAAGCAGAAATAGTACATGTTAAGATCAAGCATAAAGAAACTAAACTAAAATTATAATTCTAAACTAAAACTATTGACATGAGTTTGATTTAAACTATTTTCCTTTGCACGATCTTCACAAAAATTCTACAACTAATTTTTCTTGCATAACTTATCAATTTTGTCACTGTTAAAATATAGGTTTATAAACAATGGAATCAATAAATAATAACACTTTTTCTCATTATAAAAGACAATTCATTTTTTTAAGTGCAGAAAGCAAATTTAAAGATCAAATGGACAAACCTTTCTTTTTCAACATACAGAGAAACTTATAAATGCATATGTTTGTACCCCTGGATAGATCAGTACAGAAAATGTTAAAATGCTGCTATAATTTATCCAACCTATATTTTGCTGACAGCACAAAACCACTTGAAATTCTGCAGTGCAGAAGATGCATAATACTTTTGGGAAATAAATTTGGCTGAATGTGAAAAGATAAGCAATAATTTAACTGCTGTGAATACTTTCTTCAGAATATGTGTTCAAGATCAAGCATTTAGTGTTCACCACAGCAAAATTCTGCATAACATTTGTGTAGCAATGGCTCCAACAGTCCCTGTGCATGATTGTGAACATAAACAAGAGAAACTGATGATGGGTTCACTGACTGTCAAATAAATAAAGAACTGAAGAGATTTTGGTAAACTGATAGCTTGGGTGTTGAATCTCAGTTGGAACATAATCTATTGAATTACTCTGATGTTATGAAACAATTTGAAACAGAAATAAAATTTAGTGATAAAAGCTATGAAGCTAGATTATCATTTAATGGGAACCAAAATTAGCTATGAATCTGAGAAAATAGCGAATGAATTCAAAGGAGCTTTTGAATATCTGGCATGATACATGATAATCATTCAATTTCTAAGAAATTTATACTACTACTTAAGGTCTTGGGTATTGTTTGGAACACCAAAACAGATGAATTTAGTTTTGACATTTCTTTTATTTTGCCATTGTTAGAGGATAGACAGAACATAAAAAGAACACTTTGAAATTAGCATGTAAAATTTATGAAGCTATGGAATTAATTACACCAATTGTAATTACACTGGAGATTCTATTTCAAGAATAATGGGAGAGAGGTGTAGGATGGTATGAAGAGCTAAGTGAGGATTTGAAAGTTAAATGGGAGAATTCGTGTAAGAACATTCCTAAATTCGAAAACTTTTGCAATAACTAGATATTATTTCAAAACAGATCTCACTAAATTCCAATTACACATTTTTGCCGATGCTAGTGAATTAGCATATGGAGCTGTCACATATTTCACTACAGAATTTTATTATTGATTGTCCAAAGTTTATATATGCAAAATAATATTTATAATTTAATAATAATCATAAGATATCAGTTGATGTAAATAATAGTACATCTGATGTACCTACCTACATAAACAATATTTTTAAGGAATATTAAAAGAATTAATTAATAATTTAATTTCATATTAATTAAAAATTTGCATTTACTAGTCTTACCATAAATATCAAAGAAAAATTAGTTACACACAAACATAGCCTCCAGAATGGGATGAATTTTTTAGATGAAGTATATGGTTTTCCCTGATATTCCATTTTAATTTCTCTGCCCAAATGAAATGATTTCCCTGACCAAACTTAATGAATTAGTTATCAATACTTTTGTTACTTATCACAAAAATACAATGAAATAATTAAGAACATTATGAAATTTTAATTCATCTACTCATTAATATGACACAAATATATATATACTAGCTGTACCCGCCCGGCGTTGCCCGTGCATTTAGAAAATGCAGATAAGTGAATAGCGCAGGAATAGTAGTGTAGGACATGTAGACTGTCTCTCTCTCTTCCCCCCCACACACACAACATTCCCCGTCGATAAAAAGGAACAATATATCCTAACCATGAGCCATCTGTTAAAAAATTAGTTTAAATGAGAACAGACCTCATATTAGCACATGCTAGGAAACCGTAGTCATGTGGTTATAATCATTGGTCTGAAGTATAAAGAAAAGTAAACATAAAAAATTCAAAATCAAAGATAGGAAAGAGTTGAAAGGGAAAGATAGAGAGTACAGTACAGAAAAAATAAAAAGTAACGAAAACATGGATGAAATAAAACATCCTGCTTACAGGAAATTTGGAGTTAAGAACCAATTAAATTTTTAATTTAAGTGTAAGTTAAATTTAGATGACAATGAATTAGAAGAGGAGAGTGTTTGTGTATGTTTGTGGAGCTCGAGCTGTGGTCGCAAGGGCCCCTGACCGATTAATGTCTGTTGGTACGGCAGCACCATTCGGATTATTGCTCATGCTCTCAAGAGAGCACTAAACAATAACATCACTATTTAAAGCATGATAGTCAGAGTTAGTTTGGGAGAGTGGAGAGTGGCAATAATTTTTCGTTAGATTGTCCTTTTCGTTAGAGAGCCTCGGGATAAACTATATTTAATGTTCTTCCATTCGGAGCTAAGATATGTAGATTATCGGCATTACCAACTCTTGAACAACCCACGTACAGTTGACCATGGGAGAAACACGGCTTACGGAGGTCGAGCCCTACAACTTTGAGAGATTGTCCTTGTGCCTTATTAATGCTCATCGCGAAACTCAAACGAACAGGGAATTGTAGACGCTTAAACTGAAACTGGAGATCGGAAGGGATTATAGGAATTCTTGAAATAAACACATCTTCGCCTGCAGCATGTCCGGTCATGATGGTGGCTTCTATAATATTTGGCATCAGTTTCTTGATAGAAAGTCTTGTTCCATTGCAAAGTGGCAGGCGGATCCAGATTCCTGAGGAGAATTATCGGTGCTCCAACCTTCAAGTCCAATATGTGGGAGGGTACTCCAGGTGGCTCTAATTTGTTGAGAAAACTCTGTCGTATAGTTGACAGCCTCGTCAATATTGCATGTCGTGTCTATAGATTTGTAAATATGAAGAGTTCCGGGTAAAGTTCTGTAAAAGTTCCTTGTTGATAACACTGACGGCTTCGTTTGTTGGGGCAAGAATTGCTCTTTCGCACAGCCATGCGTGATCAGTGAAGTGGTGAATCACATTCGGAAACACAGCCTCTTTCAGTTCTTCTTCAGTAGTCACAATCCTTCCAATGCCTTGCATCGCTACATATCCATCTTCATTTTCTGAAGTAAGGGCTCCATTTCCTAGTTTCAGTAGATTATCTGCAAACTGCTGGGCAGAGGGATCACCGTTGAGATGAACTCGCATGTTAGTCGATAATCCAAGTGTTTGAATGCCATTCCAGATGTAAGAAGATTTTATGCAGGCCTGCATTTCATCTGCCCTCGTTCCACGCGGAATAACTGGTAGCGTCTGTCGAAAATCGCCTGCCAAAACCATTACGACGCCTCCCATTCTGTCATTGTTCCGTCTGAGGTCTTTCATGGTGACATCTAATGCTTCGAATGCGGCTTTGTGGGACATGGTACACTCGTCCCAAACGATGAGCTTGCAATCCTGTAGAACCTTTGCCTTTCCTGAATTCCTTGGGATGTTACACGTTGGAGTCTCTGTGCTTGTCAGATTTAAGGGTAACTTGAACGCCGAGTGAGCAGTCCTACCACCTGTCAAGAGTGTAGCAGCAATGCCGGATGAAGCGACAGCCAGGGCAATCTCATTTCTGTGCCGCACCTTTGCCAAAATAAGGTTGATAAGAAACGTCAGAAACGTCTTCCCGGTTCCGCCTGGAGCATCCAAAAAGAATATACCCCTTTGCCTATCAAAAACTGCTCTAGTAATCTTGTCAAAGGCTTCTTTTTGATCTTGGACCAATTTAGGCTCATTCTCCTGTATATAAGCTGCGAGCACATCCATGTTATAACTTCGTTCTCTAATTACTTCACTGGAAATGGCAGAATCGCTGTTTCTGTTAGGTTGGGGAAGTCCAAAGCTTTTCAGGTTCAATCCTCCTAGAGATATTATCTTGTTCTCAATGTAGATTAGGGCTCTGTTAAAGATGTCGTCATTGTAGTCCAGGTCCATATTCTGCTGCTGGATCCTTGCTTGATGCAGTATGTCTTCAGACAGGTTCTCCCTGTGGTTCATCCATAACTGTTCAGGGCCCGACATGGAGCACGTTTGAAGCATTACAGCAAAACAGATTACGCATCATCTTGGGTGATCGAGATGCAGCTGCTTCTTCTAACGCCGTGTTCCAGTGTTCGTCATTCTCCAGAAGTCCTTGAAGTTGGCAGGCCTCTTTGAAAGTGTTGCAGACTCTTCCTTGAACGGTTCTCAAATCCGTGAATGATGTTGGGCCTCTAACTTCATGTAGTAATAGGCGAAGGTGGAAGCATTCGGAGTTGTTGGGATGGACGGTGTAGACACGGCCAAGAGCATCAGTAGACCGGATTCCTGTTTTCTTGGAACAATTTGTCCTTGTTTACGGCGGTTCCAACTCTTGTTCCTGCTGTTCCATGTGTAGTACTTTGGAATTTGGTTGTAAAGTAAATTGCGAGCAAAGTTATCTTGGGTGCACAGCTTGAAGAAAGATGTGAGCGTTGTTTCCTGGGGTGCCTGGACCCATTCAGCAGCATTTTCTTCAGTGAAGTACACTCTCTGGCCATTTTCAAGGTGGACGCTTAGATGAACGACTGTGGGATGACGTTCGTGGATTGGAAAGTTGAGTATTCTCCACACTGCTTCATTGCTGCTAATGTATCTTCCCATCTCATATGATGAATTTCATTCAGTTCATTGGCTCCACTGGTGACATCAAATACAGCCATGTCGGATCCTTTATTGACATACTTGCATACATACTTTATGGACTTGACAGAATTGCAGTACTCAACGTTGATATGGGCGTTAAAAATTTTGGATAGTAGTGGACAGTAAGGAACAATCCAGGCATTGTCCACCGAAACTTCTGATCCTCGTAGATTGATGCTTGCTGTAAAACCTCCATCTGCAGGGCTTCTACGACGATACAGTGGATATCCGTCTTGTCCCGTCTGCGTCTCTTTCAAGAACTGGCGAGGGTATCGCTCTCTTGTCGATTTTTATTTTCCAAACATTTCTTTTTTCGAGGTGGCTGCGGCATATTTCTTCTAAAATCTGAAAAGCAAAAGTTAAGCAACCACAGAGAATGATACAAAAACTGAAGAAAACCTACAATAAAGAAATCAATTGTTATAATCGAACGTTATTGAAAATAAATAATAGCAACACGATCAGTGAGTCAAAAACCAATAGTGAAACAAAAGTTTAATTAATGTGTCATGAAAACAGCAAACTAAAGCTACAAAAAAGAAATGAATTGTAATTAATCGATTTAATGTATCGTCAAAACAGCAAACTAACGCTAGAATAAAGAAATCAATTGTTACAATCGAACGTTATTTGAAAACAAATAATAATATCAGTGAGTCAAAAAAACCGTGATTAATTAATTATAAATAATTTTTTTAAAATTTTTCTAATTCAAAAATCGAAAATCGGGCTTCGAGGTCTGGTGGCCAGCCCCTTTGTGCTTCCGTATAAAAAATTCCAGGTCCCTGCGTGCGATAGATTTGGCTGGAGAGCTCGGTCAGACAGACAGACTTACACTTGCTTTTATTATTATAGATTATATTATGGAAATATATATGGAAATTTCATTAAAACAAATCAAGTAATTTTTGGCCTTTACTATGTTTTTTTTTTTTTTTTTGTATATATGCATATAGTATATGAAATACTATACCCTTAAACTATTAGGAAATATAAACCTAAATCATTCAGAAATTAAGATAATTAAAAAAGAAATAAGAGATACCAAATTAATGGGGAAAAAATTTCATTTTGTGAAAGAAACAGAAGAACAATACATCATTCAGAATAAATATTGTTGCATTCTACAGGTTCATGGATTTGGAATGATTGATGACAACACTTGATGAAGAACCAAAATACAATTTACTTGTCAATATTACAAAGGACAGTTCCACGACGTGTTACGAAAACCTACAACAAACATGCTGAAACAATCAGCAACGCAGGCTATCAGGCTATGACGGTGAAGACAGCTTTAGGGCACTTATGTACAGCTCTTGAATCGATCGCTCTCAAGCTAATCTCTGAAATCAAGACAATACTACTGAAGTCAACATACTCTAGATACTCTCCACATACAGGCAAATTATATATACCTTTTGATCTGCCTTGAGAACATTCTTGGGAAAACTGGTAAGAATTTATTCTAGAATGTTCTCGCTCCGTCTATGACATATCACCTATTTTGTCACCAAATGGACGATTTTGCGCCAAATTTCGCAACCCTGCCACTTTCTGGAAACCCTAACTCCCTTTGCAAGGAACCAATTTTACCACAGCTGCCCATTTCGTAACGATATTACTCTTTTGGTGTTTCAAAATAAAACTGAAAAATTATACTATATTAAAAAAATGCTTAGTTAATACAGTTACATATTATAATGTGTAATTACATGGTGCAGTTATTTATAAATTGCATTATTCATTTTAAAAAAGGCAATTACATTTTTAAAGAGAGGGGTGACAGAACAATTATATATATTTTTTAAAAATAAACTGGAACTCGATATTAATTGGAGAGAATAATGGGTTGGTAAAATAGTTTCAGCTATAAACTAATAATATCTTTGGTGTGGTGGTGTATTTAATTATGGCAAAGCACACTAGGGCTATCTGTCTAAAGGGAGGAATGCCTTCGTGGAGGACTTTCTAAGGGAAACTGGCTCGTATACACGTTACACATGGGGAAAACCACGAAAACACCCATGCAGCCAGCCCGTTCGCGGGATTCGAACCTCGGACCAAACTACCAGTGTTCAGCGACTTTACCGCTCGGCTGCTGGTGGGTCTAATAATATCGTTGGACCAGTACAAAAAATGGCATGTGGAGGATTCTCTATAACCATGCACTATATGGAAAATATTGGAAATATGGTGAAACTGATATTGTGAGAATCATAACGGCATCTCATATCAGATGGCTGGGCCATGTGTTTAGATATGATGATGCATTTTCAACCAAAAAGATAACCTTTTCAAGAACTGAGGGAGTAAGACGAAAAGGAAGACCACCCACTAGGATGGATAGATGATGTCAAGCAAGATTTAAGGTTAATTGGAGTTAACCGATGGAATTGCGCCGAATGGGGTCAGGTGGAGGAAACTTAGAGAGACAGCCTTGGTAACAGGCTGTGGAACTTATAAAGAAGATAAACTAATAATACTTACTAAGTAAAGTAGCTCGTGTAAAAAAAAAAAGAAAAAAAAAAAAAAAAAAAGATTATAACAATATGTAATTTACTTTCTTTTTAAGTCAAGCAATTTTTGTCTTTATGTTATTACATAAAACCTAAAAATTTCTCCCTCCTTCTTTTCTGACTTTTGGGAAGGAGTTCTAGATTTTTCCTGACCTTTTAAAGAAAACTTTACATTTTCACCAGATTCCTAAAAATTTTTAGGTGAATGCGAACCTTAGAAACACATTCTAAAAAATAATTTCACCAACATAAATTAAACAATAAAAATTAAGAAACAATTCAGAAATTAAACAATGAAAATTAAGAAGAGAAATTAAATATTGTTGAAAATATTTCACATCATTTTTATTTTAATTTTAATTGCATTACTGTGATACAAACCTGCAGAAAGGCATTATACTTGCGAATCTGGAATTTGAGAGCAGGACGGCTAGTAAAATATCCAGTCCAATATTCATGTTGCTTTGATGCATATGGGAAGAAATTAGCTTTCTGAACAGGCCATGTCATATTTGATTCATAAAGACTAAATAAATAACAAGTTGGAGTGGAATAAAAAACATTCACTTTCATACCCACAGCTTGCTGAAATTATAATGAAAACCTGTCATCAGATTTTATTTGAAAACAATGTTTTGTAGTAAAAACATTAAGCACTGGCTAAATATTTACAAACATTATGTTATAAATGTTTACAGAAAATTTCACATGAATTGTAAGCAGAAAACGTTCAGATCCTTTCCATTACAGGACAACACATGCCAGAGAAAAATATGTGTTCCAATATTGCTTATTGGCCACTAAAAAATAAAATGCAAGTTCTTACCTCGTATAACAGTGTTCTCATATTCAAAATAAATATTATGAATAAAAAGTGTATTATTATTATTTTTTTAAAACTGAAATAACTAAATTAAGAGATATACAGAGCATCTAAAGAGTAAGAGAAAAAGCAAAAGTTCAATTATTTGAAAAGTGTAAATTGTAATGTGATGCAGTTTTCAAAGAAATACATGGGATTTGAAAGACATGGGATATTTTTAATACTAAAAAATTTTATTGCAAGCATAGTTACATTTTCACTTGAAATCAGAGATGCACAGTAGTCAGCCAACAGTACTTTTCTTTTTTAAAAAAGTTATTGACCATCACGTTCCAGAAATTACAACTCAGCCATTTCTGATGCTATGCAAAGTGTCCTAGTTTTAGCAATACCTCAGTCACCAGTAGTACTACAGAAGTGCTGACCTAACGTCTACCTGTATCTGTAAAGCTATGTATAACCCTGATTCATATGAATAAAACCCACCACACTAAATGCTTGTAATCTTAGCTGTATTGCAAACTGTGTTCCGCCATTCTGATGCAACTGAAACATGACCTATCCAAGAAAAATATAACTATTATGCTGAAAAAATCTTTAATTATTAAAGCAATCCCATCTCTTTCTGTGATTTCTGTGAAGACTGCACTGTGCTTATACTTTTCAAATTACAGGATTTTGTTTTTAAAATTTTTTTTGTCACTTTTGAATCACTTGATATATCTTACTCTTAAAAAAAATTTACTGCAGTAGAAATCAGTTGCTAATAAAAGTATGTTTTTGCATTGATAGTATCAAGTTGGCATCTTTTTTTTAAAAAAAAATCTGTTTAGTGCATGTTGTCTTATAACAGAAAAGATAAACGTTTTTGCTTGTAGACTAAAATTTTATATGAAATAATACTTAATTATACACAAATTACAACGAATAACTTAAAATAAAGTCAACAGCATAGTATTGGAGAGCTCAGCCAATATCATACAGAAGAGAGATAATAGAAAACTGCAATCTGAAATAACAAGTATTCGTAAAAAATATTATTTTTACATTTTTTTAGCATAAAGTATAATTCTATTTATTATTCAATGATTGCAAAAGAACATTTAAAATTTATAATTGTTTAAGCAGAAACATACATACCAGTGAATTTACATAATTCATTAGATAATCTAAATTTCTAAACCATTTTCCAGCATCTCTGAAGTGAAAGTCCATACCCATAGTCATGACGATATTATTAGTTGCATAATATTTAGCCTAGAAATATTCATATTTATCAACAGATTGAAAAAAGATCTAAAGTGAAATAAATATTGCATCAAATCCCATTATACTGCATTTATATTAAAAAATGTTCAGTATCAAGAGTAAACATGATTGGCTTATTAATCATGTATTTTCATCCTGAATTATTAAATTTATGGGGTTAATTTGTTATAGTAAAGGACAAGATGTTACTTATAAAGTTTCAAGTTATAAACTATAAAAATATAACTATTCAAAGTTTATTAAAAGAAGAGCAGCAATCACTGACTTTGTTTTAATACTCTCCTGTTTTTCTCATTAAACTTTAGTACTTTAGTACCATATCTGCATACTTTAGTACTTTAGCATACTTTAGTACCATATCTGCCCATTTTTACAAACTCTTCGTTATTTTAATGAAAACTGTTATAATTTTACAATCTTATGCATAAAATTAATGTTTTCACAAATTTTGCAATTTTTTGTAAAAGTGTCAAAAATTGTTACTATCTTTTAATTTGTTGCTATATCTGTATTCATTTGAGTTACCATCTCAACTCATCCACTCTATTATATCAAAGAAAAGTTCTTTCATTTTTGGACTGCCCATCAGCATTCAAGTGCTAAAACCACTGAATACCAGTACTTCAACTCAGGTTTAAATATTGACCAACAAGTGGGCTGCATGGGAATTTTTGTGGAATTTGCAAAACATGAATATGAGTCAATTTCCCTAAAATCCTTCATGAAGGCTGTAGCATCTTTAAGTTTATTGATGCAGGAGGCTTAAAAAATTTTTAGTGCTCTCATAGAGACCCAAACTCAGGTTGTCCTGATTATGCATTGGACATGCTTCAATTACACTATGAAGGCATATGCAAAAGAGGGAGAAAATACATTATATACTTCCTTTTTATACATGCAACCAGAGATGAAGGCAAGGGCCTAATCACAAAATCTTGGGAGTGGCAAATTATTGTCCACCAACTTTTAATTCAGGTACCACTTGTAGAGTCATCAGGTTATACACTGTTAGAAAACTGAAGAAATTCACAATGCCCTCACTGGAGTTTGAACTCTAGACCTTCCAATTATGTGACAGATGTGCTTCCGTTTAAGCACATGGAAAGGACAGATAAAATTCTTTATGAGGCATCTCTCTTTTCAATCAAACTGCTCTTGAATGGTTTGCCGTAATCTAAATAATCTAATATAATTTAGAACATGAATTCTTCTGTTGTGCGACACTAAGTATGGTGATTTTAGCATAAGTTAATCCAAAAATTTTGATCTAGAATTCTGTGAATTTCTTGATGATTTTTTTAACAAATATAATAACACTGTTATGATAGCTTTTAAATAACAATATTTTAATAAAAGATAATACATTAAAATTCTACTTTTTAATAAAAAAAAGTAACATTACTTTTATTTCCCCTCTGCCACCTTTTAAAATGTCACTTTATAACTTTTGACTATTTTGCTTATGAAATTTAAACAACATAATAAATCTTTAAAGAACAGTCTTTAGGAAAATGAAAGGGTATTGCAAAAGTTTTAAAATAACTTTCAGTATCTAATTTTGCATGTTCCATGATAAGGATTTTTCCTTGTGTAATAGTTTAAAAATACTCAGATATGAACTAGTTTTCTCTGTGAAATTCACTTTATGCTTTTTACTAAATTTTTATTGAAAATCATCTGAATTTTATTCTTATGAAGTTAGTAGGTGTACTTTTAAACAGTAAAACTTAGCCCACATTGAACTTCAGAAATTAAATAACATCTTGCAAATGAACAGTAAAATTTTCAAATAAAATTTAACTGTTCTGATTATTTGATGTGGTGTGTGGTGTGGTGTATTTAATTATGGCAAAGCACACTAGGGCTATCTGCCTAAGGAGAGGGATGCCTTCGTGGAGGACTTTCTAAGGGAAACTGGCTCGGAACTGGAAACCACGAAAACGCCCATGCAGCCAGCCCGTTCGCGGGATTCGAACCTCGGACCGAACTACCAGTGTTCAGCGACTTTACCGCTAGGCCGCTGGCTGATTATTTGATGAGAATACTGCAAGGTGACAAATAGTATCCTTAAACTAATTTACTGGTTTTAATACCTATTAGAAACGTGTATATATAAAATAGTTACTTGGCGTAACACCTTCACTTTAGAAAAATGGAATTTATTAAATATCTTACCTGCTCTTCAGCTATGGCAATAAAACTGTGAGCTTTGTAATTAATGTTATCTTCCTAAAAACAAAAAATACAGCATTAAAATATATTAATTAAACATTACCAAATGAAAAAATGACTTAAATAACTTCATATGATACATTATGACTCTGTACAGATTGATATAGAGAAGTTTTAGTGCTGTAGGCAAATCTTAAATTTCATGCCCTCATTCTGAAAAATGATAAAATGTCATTAATTTAAACAAAGGCAAGGAAAAGTTTGTTACATAAAATACAAATTTTTAAAAATGTGTTCAATGTAAAACAAAATGCTCGCAATAATATTAAGGAGCATTTAAAATAAATATGATTGCATTGTCAACACCTAATCTAGATAATCAGTAAATTCAAATGTTAAAATATCAGAAACAAAGTTTGGTTGCACGCTTTTCCATTGGAAATTCTATAAAATATTTAAATGTTTCTTAAGATTATTTTAAATTTACTAAATTCAGCATAAATACAGAATTTTAGAATTTACAAAATACTTCTATTTCGATTTTAATTAAACCCCTAATTATAAGTTGTAATTCAACTGTCTTTAACCACAATTATAATAACATAATATATTGGGCATTCTTTGTTCCATCAGATTAAACAACGCTATGAGTCTGAACCCCTGCCAAATTAAGCCCAGGGGTTCAACCCCTGTCCTCGCACCTTGGAGAGATTGGTGCCAACGCACCTGGAATAACACAGATTCCAGGGAGTCACTGGTCATCTATTTGCTACTTACCAATCACATGGGCTACATGTCGCCTAAGGACATTACCCAGAATAACAGGGGCACCACCTAAAGGCAGAACCCAGGACGCCACCCCGGGTTACTAGAGCCTTGATTTTTCGGATGTGTCAGACCCACAGGCCAACCAATAGGTGATTTTTCCAGGGCCTTTATAACTATTAGGTTCATAATTTGCATATCGCCACGGCCAAGACTGCCTAGGTACTACAAAGCTACTGGATAGATACAGCTAGTAGTTTTGCAGAGTTCTCTACATCGACCCCTGGGGAGGGAACAGTTATAATAAGTATATTTTAAAATAATTCAGTATAACAACCATGCTACAGTATTGCTATAATATGATTTAAATATTTTTTTGCATCATAACTGCAGTACATATATATATATATGGTAGTAGTACTGCTTTGGAGAAAACAACCATTCTATTCCATTGATTATTTTAAAATTTGGAATTAGGGAACAGAGGTCTTCTCATTTGTTTCTTCACACCCTTCATTCCTAGTATATCATACATAATAAGCTTTAGTTTCCCTTTCTCTGGTCACAGGTCACTGGTGATTTTGGTGAGATTTCATTAAACTGAAGCCATTTCTTAATGTTTTACTCTTTTTTTCATTGTTTAACATTTCTACTTTGAAACTTATTTTATTTCTTAAATTGAACAATCAGTAATAAACAGAACTTAAATTACTTGCACTGCTATTATGTGTTGCTAACAATTTCTTCAAATTAGTGAAATATGACCAGAAAAATACGGAAATTTCATAGTGCCAAGTGAAATAAACTATGTTATTACTCCTCCACACCCCCTCAAAACAAATGCTATAAAAAAGTTGACATTTTAAAATATAAGTAGCAGAAAAACAGGATACATACTTACTGTAAGTTCCTCATCTGAACACAAAGTATCAAAGCAGAATCCTTTAGGAGGCCAGTATACATTAGGCAAAACACCAGTAAACAAATCTGCTTTTTCACCTAATAGATGAAAATTTATTTCAATAAAACAAATACTTTTCAAAACATTTATTTTTCCCCAAACTGCATGTGATGGAATGAAGTATTCTTATATATTTTCTCAAAAAACATTACTTGAAGCAACAAATTTTAATTTGATATTAAACGTAAAAGGAGCAGACAATTAGGTATTTTTAAAGTGAACTTTTAACAAAAAGTGCAAAAGTAAAATAAAATAACTTTTTAATGCAAGAATGAAACAATAAAATATTTAAGCATAATATAATTCCTATAAAATAAAGGTAATAATACACATATACACAAAGTCCGTAATCCCGACTTCTATTATCTGATCTATAATCCGGACCCGCAGAGTATAAAGACTCCGTGTCCGGCCCTCAACACCACAAACTTACGCATGCACGTAAAGCATTTACGCATGCGCTTTTAAAGGCCCGTTTCCACTACTGTGTATGCGTTGCGGTGCGTATGCGTTTCTCCAATCAGGGAGCGAATTCACTTTGATTGACATCTGCAATCCGGTCGGTGTGCGGTGATGGATGACATATGGATGGAGTTCAACAATGTTCAACTTCTATCTGTATGTCTACGGATGCGTTGGGGTCACGTGGTGAAAAAGGAGCAATAATGTGTAGTCACCAAAAATTAATGGCGGCAGAAGAGCAATGAACGCTCGCTTAGGAAAAGAACATTTTGATAAAAGAAACTTATTTCCGAATTAACATTATAGCGAGAAATCTGCGTGCTGAAAAAGATAGCAATCAGCTTAATTTAGTTAAAAAAAGATAAGAAAAACAAGATACTGCAACTACAGTACTTGTTCATTCAAGAAATTCAGTTCAAGAAAATCAGCGGCAAAAATTATAATTCCAAGTCCATGAAATAGGAAAATTTGTTCTGATAATCATTTCCTAGTTCTGCATACTCATTTAGCTTTAATGAAAATAAATGTCTGACTATATCAAACTGCTATAGCAAATTACATATGATTAAAAGATTTGCTATTTTTTCTCTTTTGAAACAGGTAAAAACTAAAAACGTTAATTATAAATTAAATTTGATAGCCTTTTAAATACTCCAGTTCATTGAAGAGTATGTTAAATTTGTATTTCCCTTTATAAATATATCTTTTTGGCTAACATACATTTGTAAGCACATGAAATATATTTTTAGCAGTCTGTTTAACTTCAATCGGAACGCAACTTTAAAATATAATGATTTTTGTAAAAAATGTACTAGAAGCTGAAGAACAAACTCTGGTGAATTTTTCAGACGATAGCACACTGAAATAGGACCAAAAAACTTAAGTTTTAAGAATTGATTTACTTGATGATGTATATAAGCCAAAACATGCATACGACTCACGTGCAGTCCTAGCTTAGTGGTAAAGCTCAGGGATTAGAAGGGCTAGGTCATTCCTTTGTTCGACTCCTCGCCGACGCGAGTCTCATTGAGGGGGGGGGAACCGGAAGTAATCTGACGTATCTCTGTTGCACCTGCTCTGATTTCGCGCCTTTAAAACTGTAGTTTCATTCAGTTGCGAGACGATTTTCTGGAGATCGCATATCCCAAATTAATTTTAATCATACATATTTGTTTTCTAATAATGCAAATATTTAAAATAATTTGTGTATATATAGTTTTAGTCAGTTTTCCTTTTAAATTCTATATTTAAAGTATCCTTTATGTAATATGGCTTCTTGTGCTGTAGCAACGTGCCGTAACACTTATAGAAATACGAAAGGAAGAGATATTGTATTTCATGCTTTCCCCAAGGACAATTTGCTTTTGACGAAAGAATGGATACATAAATGTCGAAGACAGGATTCTATTAATGTGAAAAACGCAAGAATTTGCAGCGAACATTTTCTGTGCAGTGATTATGAAGATGACATGAGAAATCGCTTGCTTGGATTGCCGCAAAAGAAACTGTTGAAATGCAATGCTGTGCCGAAAGTAAATTTATCGTGTGCAGTAAACAAAATAACACCAAGAAATCGGAGACATTTGAAAAGAAAACTAATGCAGAGTGCTTTTGAAAGACTACACGAATTAAGCCCAAAGAAAATTTATTTTGAGGCCGAGAACGAAATTGAAGCTGACAATAATAAATCAAATGTGAATGATTTTGAAATAAAACTCACAAGTGACAATGCCCTATGTGACAATATCCCTGAGTGCCCTAAGTGTAAAGATAAACAAGAATGTATTGATAATTTGAAGAACAAAATAATATCCTTAGAAAATTGTAATAAAATATTGAAAAATAGAGAAAAGAAAGATTTTAGAATGTTTGCTCAGCGACAAAGAAGGTGGACGACATCTAGAAAGAAATTTGTATCGGAAATTCAGAAATTAAAATCCCAAACAGCGAAATTTAGGAAAAAACAGAACAGATCGGAGAATTTGGAAAAACGTCTAAAGCATATTTTTACAAAGACGCAGATTAACGCATTGCTAGAAAAGAAGGAAAAAATCCGGTGGACTAGTGAAGATATTTCACGTTGCATTGTCATAAGAGCTCTGTCATCTAAAAGCTACGATTTTTGGAAAGAAAAAATGGGAATTCCTTTACCTAGCACTAGCACATTAAAGAGATGGTGCGCTAAATTTTCATGTAGTCCAGGAATTCAGAGTGATGTTCTTGCTGTAATGAAGGAAAGATGCCAATATTTGAATTCTGTAGAAAAAATATGCGTTCTCAGTTTCGACGAAATGCACATAGATTCTAAACTCTGCTATGACTCTAAACTGGACCAAATTCTCGGTCCTTTTCAAAAAGTGCAGTTTGTTTTAATTAATCAGAGGTCTCATTTCGCAGTGGAAACAACCAATATTTTTTGATTTTAACACTCCAATGAAGAAAGAACTTCTTTTTTTTCACTCATAAGACATATTCAATCATCTAGAGTAGAAGTGAAAGCAATAGTGTCTGATTTAGGAGGATCTACTACTTTGTGGAAAGAGTTACAGATTTCGATTAATAGTTCTCATTTCCAAATCCAGTATTCCAAACGAAAAAAATATGGGTTTTTGCAGATTTAGCGCACTGCCTCAAATTACTGAGTGTTGGTGTATTTAATTATGACAAAGCACACTAGGGCTATCTGCCTAAGGGGAGGGATGCCTTCGTGGAGGACTTTCTAAGGGAAACTGGCTCGTATACACGTTACACATGGGGAAAACCACGAAAACGCCCATGCAGCCAGCCCGTTCGCGGGATTCGAACCTCGGACCGAACTACCAGTGTTCAGCGACTTTACCGCTCGGCCTCTGGTGGGCTCAAATTACTGAGAAACCACTTTTTAGATAAAGGATTTGTTTTAGAAGATGGAACTGTTTTAAATGTTGATATTATTAAAGAGAATTAAATTGTGTCACAAACTAAAACCAAATTATTTAATGGTCAAGGGAAACGAGAGACAAAAAGTAAGTATATATAATATGTTTTGATTTGAAATATTTCTAGATTGCATTTTAGAAGTTAATAGCGTAAAGCATATTTCAAATGAGAACTAATTCTGTTAAGTTATTGTTACAGTTATTTTTATTGTATCCTCTGTTATTATTGATTCGATTTTGTGCTAGCTTAGCATTCTAGATAAAATATATATAAAGTATAATATTAAAGTAATTGGCATAAGAAGACCTGCCCCCTTAACCCCCACTTTTGAAAAATTAAATAATTATTTTAGGTACTGTGAGTAAAGTTGTTTTGTCTAAATTAAGATAACAATCTTACATGTATTTATTTAAATGAAATATTGATGTAAGCCTAAGTTACAAAATTATTTTTAAAAAAAAATATGTATATGTTATTATAATGAATCGGGAGAAAAATATGCTAATGTAAAATTTACAATAAGGCTGAAACTCAAACTTAGATTAGCAGAAATTTGCCATATATAACCATACACGTTTAAAACTATGCCAATTTAAGGTTGTTTTTTTTGATTAATTTTAAATAGCTGTTATTATAGTTATCTTAGCAGTAGTACAGTTCTCTTAGTTAACATGCAGATAAAGAAATGATTAGAAACAAACAGGCATTTAAAGAAAAAAAAAAAAAATCCCTGCAAATAAAAAAAGGAACTTTATGCTAAGAGTAGCGCATTTTATCTATTATTTTAAAATTGAGTAAGTACTATTAAATTTTGTAATGTTCAGTGTAAAATGCATACTGCAGTAACATTGTCTCTTCCAAATTATAGCTATCTTTCACACACAGCTCATTTTAAACGCTGATTCTTCAAATTTAAAACGCTAATTTCTATGTTGTCAATTGCATCTCCGCGCTCAGTGGCATCATTGCTACGTCATCACTCCTCACTGCCTGTTTCAGGGGGAAACGCTCTATGAGCTAGCCCTTCTCTTCAGTCCTGGGTAAAGCTGATGGCAACGATGATTATCTTTTGGAGTCGTGAGTTCAAATCCCGTACGCTTTTTGCACCCTGTCTGCAACTTTCTTAGCTTTTTATTCCAATTTGATCTAGATTCGTGTTTTATAATTTATTTCTATTATTATATGCATTAAATATATTGTTTTATTTATGCTCTTTATTTATTTAAATTTTTCCCGCAAAAAAGTGAAAATTATATAATACTAATTTAAAGGATATCCTGTACATATATATTTCAATTTAACAAACATTCTCTATTCATAAAAAGCAAATTTAAAGTGAATTAAATTTAAATGAAATTTAATGCAAACAAAGAAATGATTAATTATTGCAGCGAACTAATCTACAATATCATTTAAATTCTGAGAGCATATGTAAATCAAGTGCAAGTATCAAAATCCATGAATAAATATATAATTCCAAAAAATTATTAATCCTAAAAAATTTATAAAAATCGTAAGTGAATAATGGGATAGATTATTAATCCTAAAAAAATTATAAAAAGGCATAAGTGAATAATAGGATAGATTATTAATCCTAAAAAATTATAAAAATGCATAAGTGAATAATAGGATAGCTTATTAATCCTAAAAATTTATA